TGTAATACATCATTCTTCTAAATATCTACACTGACTCAAGTGGGATAATTTAGGCCCATAAGAGAATGCTGCAGCCATTCCAATGCACAGGAACTGGCTGACAGGCCCACAGACCATGGCAGCATCCAGTGACTCCAAAGATATTTGGTAGTGTGCAGCATTTGGATAAGGATCTATGTGCATATCTTTGGGATGACTGAGAATACTGACCGCTCATATAGGCATCACAAAGTCATCAAAACCCAAACTGGCAGAGATCGAGAGGTTACAACAAAAGGGAGGGAAGAGTGAAAGGGAGGGGAGAGTCTCCTTCAGCCCTTAACTTTCTAAGACTGCAGAGCCTGACCATCAGTTGTCTTTCATTCAGAGCAGCCATTTTCACAGCTGAGTGTGAAAGACTTACTCTCTCTTGACAACCTTTTGCATTCACTTTTAAATGGTGTAGAAGGATAGACACAGTACAAGACAACAAAGCTAATAAGCCAATAACATCTGTACTTTCATAAAAACCTTGTACATACTGACCTAAGTAATGAAACACTGGTATGGTAAATTTCATCAGGTTTCCAAACTGAAAACTAGTGGCAGCCAACTTGAATTTTTCATCAACTTCAACAGTGATTTTCATTTAGATTTCCTCTTCTAACACTTCAACATAGCAATGAAATTCAAGATAAAGCTAGTGTTATCTTTAGGACATATATTCACCTTTTCTGAGTCCCTTGATTATATTTCTCCAAACAGTGCATTTTACAAGCTCTTAGGTGGTAGTAGCAGTAATAAACTGAGGTTGTTTGCCTAGTGTTTTTTTAAATCCTATTTGTATATATCTCTACACACTAGCAAAATATACAGCCTTTGGAAATGTTAATTTTCCTAAAAGCCATGGGACACCAACAATGTGAAAAAAGTGTGTGCTCAGAATGAACAAATGGGCAAAACTTTGACAAAACCTTGGCTTTAGAGACAGGAATGGGAATTCTTTGTGAAGCACCTGTACCAACTTCCTTTTACTTCTTTTTTGGTTTCTCCCTCCCATCTTGTATACTGAAAAGAAGGTTTTCTTCCTCTGAAATGCAGAAGGCAGATAATCTCCTCTTTGTACCTCCAACTCTTTCCCCACTCTTTTTTCCAAACCAAGTCCGCAGAAACGAGGCAGGACTTCAGCACTTGTGCCCACAGCAAAACAAAGCCGGCAGGCACCAACCAAGTGGTGAATGCCAAAGCCTCAACCGAAATCCAGGTCTATATTGCAAATTGCCTGCAACAAGATTCTCTTTCAACTCAGGTTTTGTATTGGTATCATTGAAACATGCTTAGTCTCATCTTCCCTAGTGGAAAGCTCCTGAAGTGAAATTGGAAGTAACTCTTCCATTCTCGTTTGCTGCTTTTATTTTGGTTCTGGCCATGTCAACTTTCCCAGAAGATCCAAACAACAGGGAAGAGTTTCCTGACAATTAGCTTGTTTCCCAAAATTTCTCATCTTGCAACAAACTGAATTAAGAGTTACCTCAGCTGGCTAGGTTGCAATGCAGGTCTCTTGGTTTTCTTTTTTTTTACCATACAGATTGACTCTTGGGAATGGCAACTTACTTTCTGTTTTGAACCCTCTTTTTATTAGCTCAAATGGATTTCCTTGGTTGTTAACCATCCAACCAATGCAACATGATTCTGATTCACTGGGCAGAGAACAAGAGTGGGGGGGTGGCACACGGATCATCCCCCTCTCCCCTTTGCCATACCGCAATTCCAAGCACACTTCCATTTTTGACACTGGCGTAACACCAAGAATAGTCTTTTTTGGCTGCTACAAGACCACTCACATGCATAATAGTTGCTGTTTGCTACCCAGATCATGGTTCTGTTTTGCTGCTGGTGAGATATTCATCATCCCTACAAGGATTTACATCGTTATCTAGACACTGTACGCTGGAGAAAGCATAATTTACCAGTGTTAAACTAGCAGGTTGCCTACAGTCTGCCCTAAGCAAGGCAAAGTGAAAACCTATAGTATTTCCCATGAGATGCACTGGTGATTATTGGCTGGTTTTGTGTGTTGGGTTTTGGCACATTATTGCTTGGCTTCAAATGCACCCCTGCAGGACTTCCACGCGCAGCAGGCAGCATTACTGACATTCTGCAGTTTGTCTTTGCACTTGTATTTTACCAGAGTACAAAAGCACAGTGCTCTGCTGACCACTACGTTTTTTCCAGCTATGTCCATGCAGTTGTTCTGATGCATCCACTTCGTAACTTGCCCATTGGTGTTTTGCAATATGTATGTATTGATGAGGTCTTCCTGAAAGAAAGGTCGTTTGGGATAGGGAGGGACGTGTGTGTGGTTAAGACTCACAGCTGGAAACAGCTGCAGAGAGCCAGGAGAGATCTCCTATTCCTCGCAAAGAAGAGTTAATTCCAGTGCTGCCTCAGCACCCTGCTCATCCATTGCCAAACCCAGTGTGGTTCAATAAAGAAACTCATACCCATATGCTAGAAATATTTTGGAGAGCTTAAGCTAAAGGATAAAGTTCATGGAAACTGGTGAATGCACGATACCCATTTATTCTCCTCTGGGAAAAAAAAAGACAATCCATTTATATTCAGACTGAGCATATTTGTAAAGGGGCAGTTCAGAGTAAGCTGGTTCACAATGGTACACACAAGGGGGACAGTGCCAAGAGGGATGCAAGTTGAGCCAAAGGGCGTCATTTCATAGGAAGACAGCCTGGGCAGCAGCTAGCGAGGGAAGAGGCGGAAGGTAGGCAAAAGGAGAAGCAGAAAGCCTTGGACCTGACAGGGCACAGCAAACACTGCAGACAACTCAGGGAACCTCTTCAGGACTGACACAGATACAACATGGTAAGAGACACCAAACTTGTCAACTAACCTGACCTAATGATACTGCCAATGTTAATCCCCCACAAAACTCCACATGAAACTCACGTCTCAGACACTGCTAGGAAGGGGATGGAAACAGTAGTGCTAACAGAAGAAAGGTAGGAGACTTTCCTCCTGCAGACAGAGGTGGGAAGACACTCTCTAACGTGGTATTTCAGAATCAACAATTCAGCATCAAGTGGGACAGGATCTGAAATCATGTACAGAAATGGAACAAGAATGTGCCATAAAGCCTCCAAATATATATCAGAGAAAACCTAGGAGTCAATTCGATACTAGGGGCAACACCTTTCATTAAACTGGGTTAAAATATTGTATCTTACAATATTTTACCTCTCTGCTGGGGAAAAATTGCCCCCAAACAGCTGCTTTGAAGGCTTGGCCTCCTAAATAAAAGAGAAGCACCTAACATTTGCTTTACGGAAAAAGAAGATGGAAAAAAGATATTAATACTCATTTACACTATATAAACCTGTAAGATTTACAGAGTAAGCCAGGTGTGTAGTACTACAGGCAGAAATAAATTATCATCATGATTCATGAAAAATCTTTAATGGAATAAAAATACCCCCTATTTAACTCTAGTACTCTGCAGGATTACAGTATCCAAATCCTCAGTGCTTTGTAGGATTGAAACCTAAATTTTCTACAAACTGCAGGAGTTTCCCAGCCTCCCATCATGAACTCTAGTGGACAGAATAAAAAGCTAGCGGGAAACACATTCCCCAGGTTGAAAAAATACTATTAAGGTGAGAAATGTGACCAATGTACATTTGAGACATTATTGTATATCACACTTGTGGAGAAACAGTCACTAAGCTACCTTTTATTAGCAGTTTCTATAACTCATCTAACATTAGAAATACATCAAAGATTGTCTCAAGATTTCAGTAGTTCTGTAAAGTAAATGTTTCAAGTTAACAATATAATGGTTTATAATATAGAGAGCATTAGGTAAAACAAAATACGCACAGGCTAAATAAATGGTATTCAGTTTCTGAAAGGCAGCAAGAAAAGCACCGAAATACTGCAAAAAAAGTAGATTTGGCTAAGGACTTTAAAGGACAAAAGGGAAATCAGTGTAACACACTAGACTTGTAGGCTCATGGACCCAGATGCACAGGATAGTCTGCTCCTACGGGAAAATGGTACTGTGTATCTCCAAAGAGAGAAAGAAGATCCACACCACTTTAAAGAGTGATTTGGAAGAGAGCTGCTCAGCGCCATGGGACGCTGGGAGCAGAAGCTGCCCACGCCAGCTGAGGAGCCAGAATGGCTCACTACTTTTGAAAGACTTGGCTGGAATGCCACAGCATGAGAGAGGGCACAATGCTGTTGGGTGCAGGTACATCTACTCACGTGCTCTCTCATGCCTCACCTGCCCTGTGTGCATTGCCTGCTTACATCTTCAACATGTCCAAGGAGACAAAGCCCACAAAACATACCACCCTCTCGCCTCCCATTGACTTAACTTTCCAAAGAGATAATCCTTCAGCCTTGCTCCTCACTCTTTGCCTGGTTTTCCATTTCAATGGGAGGGGAAGACCTTGCTCTCTGGGCCTCACAGGAGAGCAATGCTCTGCAGTCTCACCAGCAGTGAGCCTGCTCAGTGATCAACGTCCATAACCTTTTCAGGCTTGCCTCAGTGTGGGTAACTTACCAGGAAAGTTGTCTTGCATTAGTTCTTTACAGCTGTTGAATCTTAGTTTCACCTTACCCAGCTTCCCCCAGCCCACCCCTTTGTGTAAGACCTTGTGATGCACACAGATAACTTCCCATAATGCTTATAACAATCTCTCTGCTTCTTGCTTTATCAGAAGGTGCTGCTTTCCCCGCAGCAAGGTGTCAATTTAAGTTTGTGCTTTCGCTAAGTGCCTAGCTTTTCATCTGACAGTAGCTGGGATGGGTATGTAAAGTGGAAACACTCCAGCTGTGGCAATAACAACGGCATGATGGAGCACATGGCTACTTAGAAAACAAAAGGGGAACAGTTTTCCACTGTTGCTGCATCACAACCCCAATAACACAGCAGCAGGACTCAAGACTTGAGGGCAGGGATTCTTTCTACCACCACAGACATCTATGCACCCCTGCAAACCACATCAGTCTAACACAGAAGAGGGAGCGGGTCGAACGCAGCAATTAGGACGCCTAAAATTCTGCAGCATGGACTGGAACATGTTGTGCTGCCTCCCTTTCAGTTTTTTATTTGAGGATGTATCCGAGGAAATGGATTTCCGGGTCTGACTGTTCTGGGCCCGGATCAGTTTCTCATGTTCCCGTATTTGTCTCTGTAAGTGGTTCTGGATGGCAATTCCCAGGGATTCTGGATCGAGGGAAGCACCGTAAACCTCCCATGTCATGCCCTGCTCATCCCAAACTACATCCCTGACGTGTTTGGACTGCTTCACCTGCACTTTTGCCTCCATGGCCAGGGTGGGCTGCTTTTTGCTTTCCCCCAGGTTTGGTAAGGCCTGAGCTGAAGCAGGATGAGCTGCTGTGTGAAGCTCACATCTGGACTCCCTGGCCTGGAGGCCTTGCTGCTGGGGAGCTGCTGATGCCTCCAAAGGAAGGGTGGAATGTGCAGAACTCACACTCAACTCGGGCATCAGTCCTGTCTGCAGGCTCTGGCTGCTGACTGTCTGAGCCTGGCCTCTGCTCTCCTTTTCACCCGCATCCTTTGAGGACACCTTTATGTGGACAGCAGCAGGTTGGCTGCTAACATTCATGTCTCCTTTAGGATCAAGCACCACCAAGTTTTCTTCCTTTGGTTTTAACACGGATTGATTAGTAACGGCCTCCCCTTGACCCAAACCCTTACTTTGCCCAGGCTTTTGCTCAGAGCTGCCCAGGACCTCCTTCTCCTTGACTTCTGTGTCAGTACTACAGTGTGAAGGCAACTGACTGCTTTGTGCACCATGGACAGGATCTTGCACATTGTTCTGGGTTCCTGGAGCAGTGGCAGCAGAAGTGGTGCTTGGTTCACCAGTGCCAGACCCAGACTGTGCTGGAGTTTGATTACTGGAGTTAACTGCAAGCTGCCCAGCATGGATGGGCTTTGATG